GCTAAGATAGGTTCTCCCCTTTGGAGCTGCCATCAGGGAGAAACAGGGCCTCTCTGAGAGCACACAGCTGCGGTTGGAGGAGACTGGCCCTTTCACACCCCTTAGGCCACCTCCTCTCCTCCTTCAAGCTCTCCTGTCAGAGAAGCAGTAAGAACGGGCAGTCAGCCCAGCCGGCCACCCCAAAGTCAAACCCCAGAGCCACGTCCAGCCAAACAGCCCATGCTATTTGCAGAGCACCTGGTGAAACGACTCCATGGGCGGTATAAAGCTGCCACTGGGGTCATCTCGGATCCCCAAGGACGTTTTCAAATGGACAAGAAGGTATAAAACTCGGGGCAGGGGGGAACCCTGGGCTAACCAGGCCACTTCCCTACATTTATACACTAGGGAAACTGAGGCCCAGAGCAGATATGGGATTCACCCAAGTCACCCTGCTCCCTATGAATCCCAGCCCAACTTATCTCTAACCTAATCCAACCCCTTATAATACCATTCTACTTTTTTTTTTTTCTTTGAGACAGAGTCTCACTGTGTTGCCGGGGCTAGAGTGCCGTGGCATCAGCCTAGCTCACAGCAACCTCAAACTCCTGGGCTCAAGCGATCCTCCTGCCTCAGCCTCCCGAGGAGCTGGGACTACAGGCACGCGCCACCATGCCTGGCTACTTTTTTCTGTTTTTAGTTGTTTGGCTAATTTCTTTCTATTTTTAGTAGAGAAGGAGTCTCACTCTTGCTCAAGCTGGTCTCGAACTCCTGAGCTCAAGCGATCTTCCTGCCTCAGCCTCCCAGAGTGCTAGGATTACAGGCGTGAGCCACCACGCCCGGCCTCATTGTACTTTTTGATCACTATGGTTCAAGACACAAGTAGAAAACCGAAGCTGTGCAAAGTTAAGGCAAGCCAAAAATAAAAGAAATGACTGGGGCAATATGGCTCTCTCGGAGGGGCGTTGTTTAAGCTGGCAAAGTGAAGAGCGGCTGTCTTCCAAGGATGAAAGGTTTACTTGAGGCTATGCTGGTTTGGCTGGGCTGCATCTCCAGCACCTAGGCAAGGTAGCTGAGACTCATTAAAGTGGGAGGAGGATGAGAAGAGAGCTTGAATGAAAGCACCAGAGAATGTAGGTGGACAGAAAGAACTTCTCAACTAACTCGGGAGTAGGACACGGGGGTGTGGAGCATCTGTCTTGGAATCAGATGCCTCCCGCGTAGTGACCAAGAAATTTGCCCACCTGCAATCATCAAGCCACACCCCTGCTGGAAATCCTTCCTGGCTCCCCCACTTCCCACCAAAATGCAGCGTAAAAGCCTCAGGCTGGCACACAAGACTCCAGTCCACCTTTTCTGTCTCATTCACCTCCCACATCCCTCCAGCAGACAGTGTTCTACTGGCAGCACCAGCCCCTCCCCGAATGCCCATAACGTCCCAGTCTCCTGCCTGTGCTCACAGCACTGCTCCCACATGGAATGCTCGCACATTTTCTGCCTGCTAAAACGTCCCACCACGTAAAGAACTGGAGGAGGGGGTTCAGGCCCAGAGAACAATATGGCAGTCAGCTCCCTAAAGGCAAAGGCAGTGCCCCCTCTGTCCTAGTCACCCTCACATTTTATGGAGCCCACAAGGGAGTTGTTATTTAGCAAAAGGTACAGGTAATTCCTGGAAGCCCTGCCAGCCCTGGAACCAGAGAAATCAGTTGTAACGTGATAAACCAGGAACACTTTAATCCCAGCTTTGTTTTAGCAGAGAGACTGTTGCCTCCAGGAGGGCCAGCTCCAGCCTGCTGGATATCAACAAGAAGCAGAGCAGCAAAACCCTGTGTTCTCTGCCCCTGGCCCACCTCTGTGCCAGGGAGGCACAGCAATGGAGCCGGCCTTCTCCGGGCCAAACTTTAAACTTAGCCCTGCAAGGAGTCAGCAGGAGACACTGGACTCTGACTTGTCCAGCTCACTGTTTTGAGTCAGCAGAACTGGGTGTCCCAACAAGGGCTCAGCAGGCCATGAGCTCAGCAAAGCCCCAAAGTCTCCACGGGAAAGAGGGCCCAGTATCGTGGCTCCCCTGAGGCCTCCTCCCATGCACTCGAGGAACACTAAGTGACCACTTCAACCCCGAGACACTGGGATTTGATGCCTCTGAGAGTGAGATCAGGAACCACCTCCCCCCATTCTCATTCTCCGCCAGACCTATCTTGAGCGAGCAGCTGGGTGACTATTTTATCAGCCTCTACAGGTTGTAGGAGTATTTACTTTTTTAGAAAACCCCTCTTGCCTCTGCCTTCCGAATTTCACCCAGGTTAGATCTCGGTTCCTACAGGGGCATCTCTTACGCCCACCCCAGCCACCCTGGCTGTGGGGAGGCAGAAATCACTCCTCGCTGTGTGGTCACTTTACATGAAGCTATGAACTCAAGCCAAAATCCCGGCCAGGGAGCCAGCCACCAAAGTGAAGAAAGTCCCAGGGGCACCTTACCGGGGCCCCAAAGGCCCAACCCTCTGACTCTCTACCCCGGTGCCTGTCCTCAGAAAGAGAAGAAGGGGCCTAAAGGAAGGAATTCTGCCCCACCCTCCTCCATACCCCGACTCATGTCACACTCAAGACTGGCGAAGACACAAAAGGC